AGCCTCAGTTTCTCCTTCAATAAAATGAAAATAATATTGCCTGTACCAGAACATTCTTATGAAAAAATGGTACATGTCAAAAATGTTTTGTATACCAAAAAACACATAAAAATATAAATATTGTTATTATATGTTCATTGGTGATCTACAGGCATTTATCTCTCTCGTAAAAGATAACTTTTATTGTGATTGAAATTTATAAGTAGTAAAGGAATAGGAAACAAAATGTGTTACTTTGACAATCCTCGGGGAACACAGCACTGTCTGTCTATATGACTGCAATCACAGGGACCTTCCTTGACAAACAGCCATGGGTGAGCCTCTTGCCACATGGGGCTGGTCTGGGCTTAGAGAGTCTTCTTGATGTGACACTGATCACAAGGCTTGCTTTGGTTGATTGGGCCACATGGTTGTGTGTCTTTGTTTTCTTTCATAAACTATTCATATAGCTCCCACCCAAAGCTGAAAGAAGCCTTAAACGAAGATTGTAGATACCTGAAGACTGTGTTTTGATCAAAATTATATGGTTGGATGGGATTTGATAGTTATTTTTGGTGTGTGCTAAAATATAACATCTACATTAAACCATCAACATAACCAATGTGGAAATCAACTTAAGATTGTCCCATAATCCTACCTCAGTCCCTTTGGATGTTTTAGTAAAATACTATGGTATTGACTATGGAGTGTGATAAAATTAGTTGTTTACTTGACATATAAGGCTTGGGAACTGCTTGCAAACTACAAGACCAAGTCTGGGAGGACGAATAAGAATGGGCTTTGTGGAAATAAAGACAGATGTGGCTCAGCCTGTGCCTAGATGGGAGTCATTAATGCTAATTTAATTTTATGGATGAGTTTGAAAGTGGAGTGGGAAATGAGAAGGCAAGGACAAAGTCTTTTTTCTACTCTTGCTACTTACTGAAGTAATGTGGAAGGAATATATTGGGGTGGGCACCATGTTGCTTCTGTAGTTCCTGCTTCCCTGCTAGTCCTCAGCCTTGGCTTGGCTTGTCCATCTACAGCTCTGTGTTTTGATTGTGATGTAAATTTAAGATACTCATCATTTCTTAAAATATCAGAACAGTATCTTTTGAAAGAAAAACTTTTAGCGCTTATTGATGTCTTCTTAGAGACTATGGAATGCAAGGAGGAAGAGAGGTGGGAGAGCTAGTGTAACTTTTGAAATGGCACAGAAGTGGGAAATGGTTTCCAGTTCCAAGTATTGGTCTCAGAGCTAGTTCTAGAACACAACAGTTTTCACCAGTACACTGCAAAATGAGAAGAGAGATAGAGCATAGCGACTTTCTCATAGAGCAGCAGATATTATTCATTCACAAGACTATACTTATTTTTAAGATGATGTTTTTCCTATTTTGGAGTGATAAAGGAAAGTTGTAAAATGATTGAAATAGTAGGTAGAAGTTATTCTTTTTTTCTTTGAAGAATAACAAAATTGGCATCCCTATTTTAGGCTCTTCAAAAATTTTTTTTTAAGTTTTTACTTGACCACAAAATTAGGAACTACGGCCTGATATACTGAATTGGAGAGAGAAAAACCCCATCATCTGTCCATGTCATTAATCAGCTGTGTGACTTTGAGAAATCACTTAACTTCTCTGCGTGTGTTCTTATATTTGCAAAATGGAAACTGTCAACCAGCTTCTATGTATCCCTTAAGGTTGTTATTAAGTAAAATAAGATCACGTGTACTTAAGTGCTTAGAAACTAAAGACAGCCCTGTTAAAGTCATCATTTTTGTAAACTACCGTCAGCAAAAGTCGTTAACTTTCAGAATTGTTAGCGAAGAGTTCAACAAAAATCTGTAAACTTTTCTGTTCGTTAACTTGATGAATGTAATTGGCAAATTGTATAAAGGAAATATAGAAAATAGAATGGAGTAGCGTAGAATAGACGTGGTGTCTTCATAACAAATAATGGAATTCATCTTCTAAAATTCTTGAATCATTTTTGACATCTTATTTTGTCATCTAGGCAGTCATTGTCTCTTCTGGAACTCAGCAGAGAAACACATGTCCACAATGTGCTTGGTCTGAGAAAAGGCACATGATTATTTCTAAGTGCAATTTACATCCTGATATGCACAGTGTTTAATACCAATGAAGTTTCTTCATGGATCCTTCCTTTTCTTTTTTTGAGACGGAGTTTCGCTCTTGTTACCCAGGCTGGAATGCAATGGGTGCGATCTCGGCTCACTGCAACCTCCGCCTCCTGGGTTCAGGCAATTCTTCTGCCTCAGCCTCCTGAGTAGCTGGGATTACAGGCACGCGCCACTGTGCCCAGCTAATTTTTTGTAATTTTAGTAGAGATGGGGTTTCACCATGTTGACCAGGATGGTCTCGATCTCTTGACCTTGTGATCCACCCGCCTCGGCCTCCCAAAGTGCTGGGATTACGGATCCTTTCTTATATGAGAAAATTGATGAAGCTACAAGTTAATTGATGAAACATTACACTGGTTGCATGAGCCATTGGCTGGATCCAGTGTGGCATTGCTTTTAAGTTCTTGTCCTAGAATCTGTGAATAAAAAGCAGCTCTTTCTTTTTTTGTTGTTGCTATTAATAGTCAGATATGACTTTTAGCTGTGGAAATATTCATTTTGTTTGAGGTCAGGGACTTAATCCTCAAAACTCTGGGTCGTCTGCCCTTTGTTCTGAAATTATGATTCTTCTTTTCTCTGAAGTAAATATCCCAGAATTACAGTAGGCACAAAACTAATGGGAGCTGTATTATGAACAAAGAAACAGGCTGAAAGAGAAATTGTACAACGGCAGAAATGCAAGGCTCACTCTCTCCTTTCAATACATAAACAGGTAGCTTAAGACCCTCCCAACTGTCTCACCTGCACTGTAGATGGGCCCCTGTGCACCTGGCATGCATCCCTGGAACTGTGAGAGTTTGTCTGCACTCAGCAGCCTCACATCCTTGAATTACAATCTGTACCATTTGATGACCTTGCTCCCGCATCCCTGGGCACCAAGCCTTCTAAGTTATCACCCCTTCTCTCGGCAGTCACTTCCCAGGTGGCCACTGATCTCGCTCTACAACAGAGAGCTAACATTCTGCCAGCCTTCCTGCCATGAAGAAGAGATGCTGTATCCTTCACCCAGGGCCCTGTGTGCTAATGACTAAACATATATAGAAATAATACAATGTTTATTGAACACTTACTATAGGCCACACACTGTTTTCCATACTCTATATCCATTGCCTCTTTAATTCTCACCACAAATCTATATAGTAATTCTCCTTTTTTCATTTTAAAGATGAGAAAACAAGGTACAGAGAGATTAAGTAATTATGGCCACACTTAGAAACCTAGGAAGTAGTGCGTGAGATAGACCATCTGACTGTATGCCCTTAGCTAGTAAACCACACTGAAATATATATGGATTTCACATACCTGGATTTCCCAAAGTGATCTATTGTAGTCAAAATAAGTCTTGTTCTTACATCTGTTAATTTCCTTTTCATATCATGTATTTAAAAACTGACTATACCATGTGCCATATGCTAAGGGTACAGCTAAGGTGCCTGCAGCTTATATATTGGGGGAAGCAGACAGGCAGGATGAGATAGACTTTTTTTTTTTTTG